GTTACCAACATCTGGTGAAAATTTCATGTCATTAGCACCTCTAGTAATATATTTACTGAGAAAAATGGTGACGTGTTCAATACTTATTTTACCTGCTGTATATCTCATCGTAAATCCTGCTTCATGTTAAGATGTATTTTCAGGGTTTAATAACCCAAACTATGACTGAATCATCATCTAGTCATTTGGTTTTTTTTTTCTTCCAAAGTGTCATTTTAAATTTATTATAAATAGGAAGCCTCAAATAAATCTGTTTAACTACATCAATCAGTGTGTTAGCAGTAGATCTTATATTAGCAATGAACTAAATAAGTTTTTCATATTTTTGTTTCCTGCACCACAGATATCTCGTCTTCCTGCAGGTCAAGAGAGATCTCTACCACGGCCGCCTTCTGTGCAAGACATCAGACGCAGCTCTGCTGGCTGCTTACATTTTACAAGGTGGAACAGATGTCATAAAATGCAGCACTTTATACTTTTATTTAAATGTCTGATCCTGCTGGAACGTTACCAAAACTCTCTGGTACTCTATATAAAATTTACAGGGGTGGGGGCACAGCTAACCAAAAGGTAACCAGCTTTGCTAACGCTAAATATGTGAACATTAGCAGACGCCAGAGGTTTATAGTAACTAAGTACATTTACTTTGTTACAGTACTCAAGTACATAGTTGTTTTGAGGATTTGAAATTTCACCATTTTTTAAAATAGCTACTTTTACTTTTATTTCGTTATATTTTAAAGCTAAAAATACTTTTATTTCTTTAAAATGTAACACCTAGTTACTTGTTACAAAGTTAAATATGTTTGAATTCATCATGAAAGAAGATGTTTCTGCACTCTAAACATTAAGTGTTGAATTTACTCAAAAACGTCATGTCAGCTGGTTCTAAGCCTAGGTGAGTAAATTGAGCAACAAATATACATATATTGCTCAATTTATTCAACCTGGTTTAGTGAAACCAGTTTGGTTCAGTAAATTCAACAGTTTATTTCTTAGAGAGTGTGCAAAAGTACTTTATAGACCTCTGGCAAAAGCTAACGAGCTAACTGCGAAGATGACTCTGCATCACACATCTTTGTCTCCTTCCAGCTGAAGACAGGCCTAACACAAACACACGGGACATGGGAGATTTTTTTTCTTTTGCGTTCCCACACAATGGTATTGTTACCTCGCAATACCTTTTGCATTCCCTCGCAAAAGAAGTTTATCACTGTTGTGCCTGCTGGTTTATTAACAAACTCACATGTTTACCATTAGCGAGTTAGCCTACTGCTTTAATTCAGCTTCAGAATGAATATATCACACAACCACGCATGGAAGTATGTCATATGCCGATATTTTAACACAGTGCAGCCATGCAACATCACTGTCAATTTCACTAACTTGTGGCGACACATCCTGTTTTGGTAACCGAATATTTCAAAATAAAAGTCTGATTTAATTCAGTTCATATACAAATCAAAGTTTTGCGTGGGAACGCAAAACAATATTCCAAGGTAACGCAAAAGTATTGCGAGGGAATGCAAAAGTATTATGTGGGAACACAAAAGAAAAAAAATCCCCCCATGTCCCCTCGCGGGCTCTGTAGTTTTCCTTTGTGTCGGCTCATCAACACATAAAAACAGAACACAGTGGATTCTGTGGTATTTACTCTTAGTATTTTTATTCTTAACTATTATCATAAAACACAAACACATTCATTAAAGGGAGGTTTGTCCTCAGTTCAGTAACTGAAAGCAGATATGAAATGTAATGTATTAAATGGTAAATGGACTGATAGTGTTTTATCAAGTCCATAGACTCCAAAGAGCTTTTTAAGTAGACTATTAAGTATTATATTAAGCATTAATAAATGATTTTCATATCAGATATTTTAAATGTCAAATTTGCACCATTAGTATTGCAGCTGTATTTAGAATAATGACAAAAAATATAAGGTTAAAAAAAAGAAAAAAATTCTGACATGAAAATGGTGCATACATATTGTGTGGTTTTACTTCATTAATGTTTTTAAATTGAGCAAATAATCAAATAATTCACTGCTTTGCACATGATTTTACAAATTAAAAGGAAAAATATATTAATAAACAAATGACAAGCAGTATAACTATGTACAAATACAAAAAAAACTTTGAAGTTGTGTATAATTCGGTTCAAAGTATTCACTGTTAATTATTCCCATTTACAGTTTTTATTGGGGAGAAATGAGTTTATGTTTTTTTTAAAGCAGTCCTCGTCAGCTCTATTACTGTTTTATCCTTTCTTGGTTCTTGCAGCTGAAATCGGTGACTACGACCCAGGCAAACATCCTGAGGGCTACAGCTCCAAGTTCCAGTTCTTCCCCAAACACTCTGAAAAACTGGAGCGGCGGATCGCAGAGATCCACAAGACTGAGCTGATGTAAGGTGACACCTGTCCAGATCCCTGCACCGCTGAGTTCCTCTAACAACCGCTGTGAAACAACCACATGAGAACTCTTCACTCACCTCTACACGCCCAATTCTTCTAGGCTTTATTATTTATTTATTTATTTATTGCTGTTGCTTTTGGCTCAGCCTTTAGAGACACCAACTGTGTTTTAGTTAATGATGGTGAAGCAAATTAAAAACAAGTTTACTCCCATTATAAATGCACCAAAAGGACGATATAAAATGCAGCTTGAAGATTTTGTAACCTTTTTATTTTAATTTTTTTTTACTTCTGTCTAAATATGACTCAAATCATCACCAAAGTCATCTGTAGACATCTTCTGTCTTTTCATTTAATCCAAGAACATGAGCACGTTCTGGGATATGTGAGGGAAATCACAAAGAATAAGTCAACCTATTTTTCAGCCTGAGTTTTACTCTGTAGACCAAATGTTTAGACCTTGCTGGTGGTCTCTTGTGATGAACAAGCACTGATTTCAGCACTATTTTACACTACAGTACAGGACACAGCTCAGGAGAGGCACAGTGTGTAGATTTAATCCTACACTGCCCTCTATTGCTCATTTCCAGCTTTGTAACTCAATAAAATACATCTCTAACAACCTGTGAGCAAACACGAAAAAAGGTTGTGCCGTTTTGATTCGGACTGCACAGATATGGAATAAATTTGCTCTGATTCGTTTAAATCTTTAACCGCAGTGAACTTGAATCTAAATTTATTATAAAATTTAATTTATGGCAGCACGTTGGCTCAGTGGTTAACACTGATGCTGCACAGCAAGAAGGTCCTGGGTTCGATTCCTGGTTTGGACCTGAGGTCTTTCGTTGTGGAGTTTATATGTTCTCCTGGGTTTTTTCCAGGTAATCCAGTTTCCACAAACCAAAAATATACAATAGGTTGCATTCAGGCCGCCCGTGCAGAAGAGATCTGTGATCTCACTGGGATTTGTCTGATTAAATAAATAAAAAATAATAAATAAAAAGACGTGGAGTTTTAAGGATATTTCTGTTTTCCTCAGAGGTCAAAGCCCTGAAACGTCTGAGCTCAACTTCCTCCAGAAAGCCCAGACGTTAGAGACGTACGGAGTGGACCCTCATCCATGCAAGGTCATCTTTACAGAGTTCACTTAAACGAGAAATTCTTCTAATGTGGTGTACTTTATGACAGCAGGTTTCATGAAGGCTCAGCTTAAAGTGACTGAAATGCTCGTTCTTGTTGGGATTTGCCAGGATGTGTCGGGGAATCCAGCTTTTCTGGCGTTCACTCCTTTTGGATTCACTGTGCTGCAGGGAAACAGGAGAATCCATTTCCTCACATGGTGAGAAAAACCAACACAAAGGCCCTCTTCAGATTTAAGTCCAGACCTCAACACGCTCATTCACCAACTCTCTGATCAATGTCAGAAAGTTCAGGCAGGAACCAGGCGTCTGCTTCTGAAATGTTTGTAGTTGTTAAAATGAACATAGTGATGGCTTTAAGAATAGAAACAAAACACAGCTTGAAATATTTGTTCTTTCTCCATTTTAATTCCTTGTATTTTGTATTTTTCTCCTTCAATCTGTGCATTTTGCATTTTTTTTTTCTGTTTTTGCTGATCTTCATTTGTCTCAATTTGTGTTCATCCGCAGGGAAGAGGTGACCAAACTCAAGTTTGAAGCAAAGACATTTCATATATATGCAAATCAGACTGAGGTAAATACAGTCAGTCTTAAAATCACACATTATTTTCTTTTTTGTAAAATATTGTAGACTCTGAGTTCTCTTGACCAGTGGTTGGCATTGTTCCACTAATCAGCTAACTGCGAAACGTAGTTTTCATTTAGCATATTAGCTTTTTCACTAACTTTGAAAACCATTAACCAATTAGTTTCCACTAAAAAGGCTTGAGAGATGTTAAGTTTGCTAACAGGTAACAGGTTTGTGTCAGTCCCACCAGTCTTCAGCTGCAAGAAGACGAAGACGTGACACAGACAGTGATCGTTGTCTTGGCGGTTAGCGTTAGCTTCCATTAATGTTTACCTGTTTAGCATTAACATCCACTAATTTTTACTTGTCTAGTTTTTTAGTTGTTTTTTTACTATGCTAGTATCCTTTAAGTATACTAATTTTAAACTAAAAACATAAGAGCATACTTCCAGTTTACTTTTTATGTACTTATAGAATAGAATAGAAACAGCCTTTATTATCCCATCTGGGGAAAATCAGGTGTAGCAGCAGGTGCATACATCAATCCACAAAACAGTATGTCGCTTTGTGACAAATCAATTGTAGCAAACATTAAATTAAATTAAAGATACTAACAAAAAAATAAACATAGATCAAAAATAAAAATAAGAATAATTATTACCGTACCAGACTATCAAGGTTAGGTCTGAGATATACTTTACCAAGTTTATCTCACACTTAAACCTTTGGCCAAGATAAACTTTAGTAGTACACTGAAAGTACATTTCCACACAGACTGTTTTTTTTTTTTGTAGTATATTTCAAGATTAAACTAAAAGTATACTGTGAAGATTACTTTTAGTATAGTTCTGAGTATACTTTCATAAACTTTTCATAAACTTATTGGGGGCCACTTTAGTCCTAGAAGTATACTTGTTAGTAAACTGCCAGAATACTTACATCAGTGTGCGTGGTAAATAAAAGTGCACTTAAGGAAATACACTTTTATATACTTTTAGTATACTTAATGACATATACTTAAAGTATACTTCTTTTTGTTAAGTTTATAAACTTAGACATTATAACAGTATACTTATACTTTTTATAAACAAAAAAAATCCCAATTTAGTACAAACGAGTATTAAATCAGTATACTTTCTAGTACACTACAAAGTACATGGTGCTTAGTATACTTGACATACTTAAACTTATTCTCAAGTATACTTCATACTTCAAGTATACTACTTTTTGCTAAGGGTTAGCATAGCTAATTTTTGGTTGTCTGTGCTCACTACTGCTCTAGACAATAAAAAGTTGATGTAAATGTATCAAAAATTATTTTTGTTTATTTCCAATTAGAATGTAATGTTGTGTTTTATAAAGTTATCTATTACATTAACCTTTTCCAGGACAGGAAGATTATTCTAACTTACTTTGCACCGACACCAGAGGCCTGTAAGCATCTGTGGAAGTGTGGAGTCGAGAATCAGGCCTTCTATAAGTAAGACAAAACAAAATAATTGACTAACATGTTTTTTGTGATGTAGTTTTATTATTGTGATTCACTTCCTCTGTTCGCTCACAGGTTGGAGAAATCAAGTCAAGTCCGCACTGTGTCCAGTAGTAACCTCTTCTTTAAGGGTAGCAGATTTAGATACAGGTATGAAAAGCATGCAGTGTTTTAAACGGATCACTGTCGAGGGTTAAACACATCACTTCACTTGTGTAACGATTTGCTGAACCTGGTTGTGTTGCACTAAACCCAGATCATCACAATCTCCCACTCCTTTGTTTTCTTAGTGGAAAGGTTGCAAAAGAGGTGATGGAACAAAGTGCCAAAATTAAAAGAGATCCTCCTGAGATCCACAGGTCAGACATCTTACACTGGTATAACACCTTGTGTTTTGTGACAATAGTGTGTATTTTTTCACCCGTTTTGTGTGGGGGGGGTGGTTTTGTCCCAGGGCTGGCATGGTTCCTAGTAGAAGTTGTCCTTCGATCACTCATGGCCCTCGTCTGACCAGCGTGCCCAGAACCCGGCGGAGAGCTGTGCACATCTCCATAATGGAAGGTAAAATATGTACAAACATTAAAGGCAACAACTTAAAAAAAAAACAGAACTGTATAGATTGTCTCGTTAAACTGATTCGACCTATTATATTTAGTCAAAATTTAGGTCATAAGTCAATTTGGGTATATGCAGAACCTCACAAGACAGCTCACAGAAATAATTTCTTCATTATGTTTTATTTGGATCCATTTGCTGAAATACAATAAGGCATACCTCCACTTCAAGATTCAAAGTGTCATATGCACAGATGAAAACATGTTTCCCTGAGCAATGAAATTCTTACTTTGTCGTCCATTTTGAATGCCAAGAGATAACCATATTAACAAAAGAAATGAATCATCACCGAAAGGACACAAACAATGTTGATAAGATAAAAGAGGAAACTAAACTAAGGTTAATAACATCGGAAGGGAACAACATAATAATGACAACAAGAAGGGAACGGTACAATCTGTTTTAAAGTGTAATGTGCAACAGTCTGAAATGTGCACATGTGCAGTAATAGAAGAGTGTCACGTTCAGTTGTTTAAAAGTCTGATGGCACTTGGGAAAAATGAGTTCTTGTATCTGGAGGTTCTGCATGTCACACTTCTGTACCTCCGGCCGGAGGGCAGAGGTGTAAATAGTCCATGCTGGGGGTGGGTTGGGTCTTTGATGATTGAGGCTGCTCTCCTTTGATCCCTGCAGTGGTAGATGCTCTGCAGAGATGGCAGTGAAGTCCCTGTGATCTTCTCAGCAGTTTTTATCACTCTCTGCAGGCGTTTGGTCCAAAATGGTGGCACTGTTGTACCAGGCTGTGATGCAGCTGGTCAAGATGCTCTCTACTGTGCAGCTGTAAAGGTTCCTGAGGATCCTTGTTGACATGCCTAACTTCCTTATTCTCCTCAGGAAGTGGAGTCTCTGTTGAGCCTTCTTAACCAGCTGTATTGTGTTCTCAGTCCAGCCCAGGTTCTCAGTCAGGTGGACGCCCAGGTATTTAAAGCTGCTCACCCTCTCAAACTCAAGGTCTCCGATGTGCAGTGGCTGGTGTGGCCTCCTTTCCTTCCTCATGTCCACTATCAGCTCCTTTGTTTTGTCGGTGTTGAGGGTGATGTTGTCTTCACACCAAGACACCAGGCCGGCGTCCTCCCTTCTGTAAGCTGCTTCATCCTCCCCAGTGATGCGTCCTATCACTGCCGTGTCATCAGCAAACTTCAGGATTATGTTGTTGTCATGGGAGGCAGCAAAGTCGTGAGTGAACAGGGTGTAGAGGATTGGGCTTAGGACGCACCCCTGTGGGGTTCCAGTGTTTGTGATGATTGTGGAGGAGGTCCTGTTCCCGATCCTGACTGTCTGAGGCCTTCCAGTCAAAAAGTCTAGGAGCCAGTCACAGAGGGCGGGTTGAATTCCTAATGAGTCCAGTTTATGGATGAGTTTTTGTGGGATGACTGTGTTGAAGGCTGTGCTATAGTCTTTTTGTAGTCTGAGTCTTTTTTCCTCCAGGTGGGAGAGTGAGTATTGGAGGGCGTCTGATGTCGACCTGTTGGGCTTGTAGGCATACTGCAGGGGGTCCAGGGTGGCCGGGATGCTCTCCTGAATGTGGGGCCAGCAGCACTCTCTCAAAGCACTTCATAATGATTAGGGTGAGTGCTACTGGCCTGTAGTCATTTAAACATGTGGGTTGGCTCTTCTAGGGGACAGGGACAATTGTTGTTGATTTGAAGCATGTGGGGACAATGCTCTGGCTGAGGGAGGCATTGAGGATGGAGGTGAGAACCTCTGTCAGCTCGTTAGCACAATCTCTGAGGGCCCGCCCTGGGATATTGTCTGGTCCTGCTGCTCTGCGGGGGTTGATCGGCCTCAGAGCTCTCTGTACCTGGCTTGATAAGACAGTTGGTGGTGGTGGTGTTTGGGGGGGGGATGGGTTTCCTGGTTGAGTGAGTGTATGTGTGTGTGTGTCCCCTGTTGTGCTGGAGGCTTCAAAGCGGGAGTAAAAGGCATTGAGAACGTCTGGGAGATTGTCTGTGGAGCCGATGATGTTGGTGGGGGTTTTGTAGTCCGTGATGTGTTTCACGCCTTGCCACATTAGTTTGGGCTCAGAGGTGGAGTAGAACCCCTCCAGTTTCTCCCTGTATTGCCTTTTAGCTGATCTTATTGCTTTTCTCGGACCATATTGTGCTGTTTTGTATTCAGTTTCACTGCCTGATGTGAAAGCTTCAGTTCGAGCACGCAGCATGTGACGTACCTCACTGGTAAACCAGGGTTTCTGTTTTGGGAACCTCCTGGTTTTTATGGTGGGCACAATGTTGTCCACACATGTGCTGATGTACCCGGTCACAGATTCAGCGTACACCTGAATATTTATGGTGGAGTCCTCCATTGTGGCTGCGTTTCTGAATACATCCCAGTCCGTTTGTGCAAAACAGTCCTGCAGGGTCATCTCAGTGTCCTTGGTCCAGTGTTTGATTTGTTTTGTAACAGGGTTTGTCTGTTTTAATTTCTGCCTGTAAGCTGGATGCAGGTACAGTGAGATGTGGTCTGAGTTTGCAAAGTGGGGGCGGGGTGCAGCTTTGTAAGCACCTCTTATGTTGCTGTAGACCTGGTCCAGTGCATTAATCCCACGAGTTGGTATGTGAACATGCTTATAGTATTTTGGAAATACATACTGTAAGTTGGCAATAACAAAAACTGTGTCTGGGTGGTTTGTCTCTGCTGAGCTGATGACATCATGGATTTCCCAGAGCGCCGCTGCTGCGTTCGCTCGGGGAGGGGGTATGTAAACAGCAGCCCAAGAAACACAGCACTGAATTCCCGCGGTACATAGAAGGGCCGACATTTCAGTAATAAAAGCTCCACGTCGGGCGAACAGAGCTTGTGAACAGTCTGAATGTTTTGGCACCACGAGTTATTGGTAAACACACACCCCCGCCTTTCGTCTTACCGTAGGCAGCGGTCCGATCTCCTCGGTGGACAGAGTGGGTCTCCAACTGGATGGCTGATTCTGGGACAGCTTCAGAGAGCCAGGTCTCTGTGAGAATCAGAGCGTAGCATTCCCTTGTTTCTCGTTGCGCTGTGATCCTCGTTCTCAGTTCGTCCAGTTTGTTTTCCAGGGAGCAGACATTAGCTAGCAGGAGGCTGGGTACAGGTGGTCGGTGGGGGGCGAGCGTTCAATCTCGCGTGCAGCCCTCCTCACTGTGGAAAGCCCCCGCTAACACAACGCGTCAAATGGACGCGTAATGATCACGTGGTTGTGTCAGCGGGGGCTTTCCGTACCTCTCTTGCCTCGTCGACGTTTCCTCCGTCTGCAGGGCTCTCCTCTGGGGACGGCGGCTGCATTCCAGAGCGGTGCTGCGGTGTCTCCCTGGGGGTGGTGATGATGATGGTGATGATGGTCGTGGTCCCGAACAATGAATGTCCGATGGAATAGAGCCAGTAAATTCCAGGTGGCTGTGCAGTTTGCCGATGTCCAGCAACGTCTGTTTGTTATAAGTAAGCAATGCATTTATCTGCAATGTTGGTTAGTAATAAAAATGTACAAAAACCAACAAAATAAAGAAGAAAGTCGGCATTCTGAAGCGGAGCGAACAAACACGTCTGCCGCGGTGGGCGCCACTTGTAAAACATTCAGATGTAATATTTTTGTACTTCTCGTTTTTCATTAGAAATTGTGTTTTTTATAAACACGTATAGCCTTACATCACGGGTGTCAAACTCATTTTCACTGAGGCCTCAAAAGGCCAGTTGTAATTAACTTCAACATTTCGTGGTTAACTTGCCTCTTCATGTCAACATGTCTGGTTGTGAGTGTCATTCATTCTCTCAATGTTTACATTTCACCCCACTTTGTCTCTGTTGGATGTGTGGATTAAATCCAGTGTGTCCTGAACGATACTCTGAAGAGTGTCAATCAGAGGCTGCCCTCAGGCGTTGTTTTGTCGTGAGGAAGTCATTCTTTCAGTTTATAAAGGGCACTTACTGTCCCCCTGTCTCCTAGAACTGGCTATTAACCTTTTGCCGATGCTTCCTCCGAGAGTTTGTTTACTCCCAGTTGGTCAGTCTGATCCAACTAATAAACTTTTGGCGAAGTCTATTCACAACAGATTAAAAGGCTTTTCGTCAAACAGTCCCTCCTTTTGTCATTGAGATGGATACCAAAGTGCGTGATGTATTACTCCAATATTACAGCAGCGAAACAAACTCCCCTGTGTTTTGTCTTGTTGCTCTTTCTGCCCTGGTATTTCAGCTGGTAATAATATCTCAACCTGAAAATAGCTCCTGCTGTCAGGGGTCACAGCCGACAGCAGAGAAACTACAGGACAAATGGGAGGCATTCCCTGGCTTTGTCTCTCTCTCTCTCTTACTTCGCTCCTGTTTGTCCACGGCTGACAGCTGATAAAAGCAGCCAGAGATGAGAGTTGCAGTCCGATCTCAGAGGATTAGACAGAACGGGCGGTTTTAGAACAAACTAAAATAAAAGAGCAGCTCAGCTGTGACCAGATCCTCATCAAACTTTTGTTTTGTTTTGTTTTTTTATCGCTGAATCATGGTGAAATGTTTGATCCGGATCAGGACCAAGGTGAATGTTCACTTGCGTATGATCAACCATTGTTATCGGGACGTGAAGGTGCGTGTGCTGTCCATGGGACCCAGACTCTTAGGCAAAGCTCTGGGGGTCCTACCGCTTTTACCAGCTTTGCCTAGACCATCTTCAGGTTCTAATCTTGGATCGGGACAAAAATCCAGAACTCCTTCTAGGCTGTCTGATCCACCCCCTTTTCCTGACTGCAATGAAGGTAAAAATCTACACTACTTTTGTGATCTAAAGGTCTTATTTGATAACTAGTTCATGCTTAAACAGTATGTTCACCCTTTTTATTTTTAAGCCTTTAAAGCAGGGGTCCCCAAACTTTTTCCTGTAAGGGCCACATAACTTTTCCCTTCTCTGGTG